AGGCGTTGGCACAGTGAGCGAGAATTTGTTCACAAACACGAAACAGAGTGGGCAAAATGAGTCTTTTATCTGAGTGGCGTACAGTCACTTCCAATGCACTCAATTCCCCCAGCTCTGACAAAGAGTTGGTGTTGGTTCCAAGCCTGCTGTGGATGGGCAGACTCTCGTGTCTTTAAATCAGAAATAGATTACATGCAACCTGTAACTTGCTTCCTCAAATAAGCCTCTTTTCTTTCCATTCAAAAACTTCTGTTCCTAAGGATCAGAATTCAACACTTTGCCAATTGCTTTGTCAGTGAGTTACGGAGGTCAGACTGTCTCATATACCACAGCTACGGGAAGCATGGTGTCACCGAGATCTCGTCATCTCCTTCATGCTTTCTAATCCAGTGTATAACTTCAAAAAAAATCCCAAAATTTAGCAAAGTTTTCAATTTCCCTGATAATTCCCTCCCCAAAATAGGGGTGACGTGGGGACTTGGGAATTGCATGACCAGGAATCATACATGTATAATGAATGCTTATTTAATTTCCTATGTACACTATCGGATGTGGTGTTGACTTAGTAGGAGGCAGGAAGAACTATCCCTGAACCCGGGTGATCTCTGAAATGGACCTTCAAAGCCAGTAGGTTTCGATCTGAGCAGCTATTACATGTACTGGTACCAACAAAGTTCCAGAGAGGGCCAGAAATGGCTAATTTGGTACTTCGTTAAAAACAACAAACGTTTTAAATCGGATGTTGAACGATGAGTTATTGCTTCCAAATATTGTTCAAAGAATATCTTAGATTTACATGTTAGGACACTGACAATGTCAGACACCATGTCATATTCTTGTACACGGCTACAGTGAGACAGATCAGATTCAGACCTGTCCAAAATTCTGCGAGAGAAAATGCAATGCTTCCCGTGATTCTCAATTTACCTGTACGGCACGAATAACAAGTAATAGAATCGCATTGTTGCAAATAGCAGGAAGAACGCGATCAGCCTTTCATATGTCCGCCTCCTGGTTCCATTTACTGCTTAATGACGCGTCTCCACTGCAAATTACGCAGTATCATAGTTTTTACATCCTACGTTTCTATACATTCATTTGGTTATACTCTGAAAGCAGTGCTTATTCTTTTCCTTGCCAGTGACTTGGTCATGTGTCCTAGTTCTTATCAACTCGCTGTATAAAGATTTACATCCACCAGCCCGCTCTCCCATTTCTCTACATTCTGAAGGCCTGTAGAAGGTAAGACATAGGCGCAGAAGTATGCCATTCATTACTGCGTAATTTGCAGTGGAGTGGCGTCATTGAGAGTAAATGGAACGAGGAGGCGGACATATGAAAGGCTGATCGCGTTCTTCCTGCTATTTACAATAATGTGATTCTGTGACTTGTTATTCGTGTCGTACAGGTAAATTGAGAATCACGGAAAGCATTGCATTTTCGCTTGCAGGGTTTTGGACAGGTCTGAATCTGATCTGTCTCACTGTAACCGTGTACAAGAATATGTCACGCTGTCTGACATTCAGCCCATTTAGTGCTTTTCACCCGTAGTGAGATCATGGCCGATCTAATCATTCTAAAATCCATTTTCCTGCCTGTTCCTCATAACCCTAGATTCCCTCAATGATTAAAAAGGTAATATCTGTTTCACCCTTGAATGCTTAATTTGATTGTTGTTACATGCATTGGGATATAGTGAAAAGTACTGCAATGAATGATCCAGTATTCACTGCCCTCTGTGGCAAATGACCATACAGTATCATTCCTTCTGAGAGGAGAAATACATCCTCAAATCTGTCTTAAATATGTAAATTCTAATTCTGAGATTGCACCTTCATGTCCTACATTCTCCCGCAAGTGGAAACTAATCTCTGCACACTTCCGGTGAAAAACCTTCATGCCTGGACCAGGTCGGACTTCAACACGGTCCTCCTGATTCAAACGTACTGATATAATGCAACCCATCGAGGTCCCTCCACGTTTATGTATTGAAGAATTAAACTCACGGTGATAAACACAAAATATATTTGCTCTCGGTCCTTTGTCTGCAGACCTCAGGTTCTCGAAAAGGATAATCTAACCTTGTGTAAAGCTTTTGGTGCTGCAATGGGAGTGGATCAACACTTCAGTGTCCAAGGGTGGCGAAAAATAACTTGTCTGTTAATTGTCATCAACCAACCAAAAAATTAAGGATCATTTTATAGCATTCGGGAAACCGTCTGAAATATAAATGATATTGAGGATAATCTGGATAAATTTCTGTTTTAAGTTTTGTGCCTATTGCTTTGTGAGATTTGTTCAGCCTGTACAAATCATCCCTGATCTAGAAATTAATTCTAAGCAAAACATATTCTTAATAAATTGTGGACTATAAATCCAGAAAAATAACATGGGAGAAAGTGGAGGGCATGTTCAGAATGACAGGCCAGCGACCAAAGGGAAACTTAGAACAAAACAGACATTAAATTATCACCATTGAATTTAGTAAGTTTAACTGCTCACAGAGCTAAAAGCAACGAAGTCTGCCTATGCATGAGTTGATGCTGCTATCAGTTTGAATGGCGCCAAATACTACCCTCACTGCGATTGAATCATCATAGAATCCTTACAGTGTGGAAGCAGGCGATTCGTCCTGTCAAGTCCACACCATCCCTCCGAAGACTTCCCACTCACTGCACTCTTTCTGTATTTCCCACCTCAGACATTATGGACAATTTAGCATCGTCAATCCGCCTAACCAGCACTTGTGGGCGGAAACCAGAAAACCCAGAGGAAAACCACGCAGACACCAGGAGAATGTGTAAACTCCACACAGACAGTCGCCCGAGGCTGGAAAAGGAGACCGGGTCCCTGGTGCTGTGAGGCAGTGCTAACTGCCACTGTGTCACTGTGCCATTGTGCCACCCATGGTGAGCTTCGCCTTCCTGTTATGCAGATGTGGGAATTTACCAACAGAGGTGCATTGCATCACGATAAATTCAATGGAAAGAAACAAGGAAAGAGGCGGTGACACTTTTTTAAAAAAAAAAATCATTCATTATCGTCCTTCAAATAATTCATCTTCTGATACAGCAGCCATCTGTTTCTGCCCTCACATTAGCGCAGTGAAGCAGCGAATCAGATGAATATTTCTCATTTTTTGAGCTTGTTTTATTTCGTGGGACATGGAGACAGACAGATCAACTCACTGCACAACATGCACATACATTGAAACGCTCAGGCAAAAACCTCAAAACAAATATGCACAACTGACCATTCATATTGACAAACAGACAAATACACATAAGTAATTACGACTGAATTTACAGACGCAAACAAATATACACACAGCACTGAATCTCCCACACGGGCACAAGCATATACGAACACATGTTCAAACAGAAACCAAGGGTGTTAATAGCTACGACAGGTACTTTGACATTATTGAGATGTAACGTGGGTCCAGTTCTATGAAGCTTCTGTAATCAGTCAAAAAAGATACCCATAGAGGGAAGTTGAACTAATCCCGGTGAAACGTGCTGAAGGGAACCAAAAGAGGCAGAGTGAAATTGTTGAGTCTGAGTGCAGAAAAACAAGAATAGAGATTCAGAATAAAGGGGATACTGATTAAAAGTTATATCAAAGTTAGCGACAGACAAAGTTGAGTTCTGAGGAAGGGTCACCGAACCCGAAACGTTAACTCTGTTTTCTCCTCCACAGATGCTGCCAGACCTGCTGAGCTTTTCCAGAAATTTTGTTTTTGTTCCTGAAAGTTGAGATTGAGTTGAGTGATGCGGGAGGTGGGATTTCAGGGATTTAAATTCAAAGCAGACAGTTTATTGGGCCTCAAGAATTACAGGTGTATGTGATTCTCGACTATACCGTGTATAGGCTAATTTGTAAGTTGGGCATTGGGGCTGAATGTGTAGTCTTCAAAGTTAGACTACTGAAAATCTGAGAATTTCCTTACCATCAATGGAAGCAAATCATCCATTTTGGTAGGAATAACAGCAAAACGGACTATGTCTTAAATAGTAAAAAATTGCAGCACGCTGCTGTTCAGAGGGACTTGGGTGTCCTTGTGCATGAATCGCTAAAAGTAGGATTGCAGGTGCAGCAGGTAATTAAAAAGGCAAATGGAATTTTGTCTGCCATTGCTCGAGGGATGGAGTTTAAAAACAGGGAGGCTATGCTGCAGCTGTATAGGGTCCTGGTGAGGCCACACCTGGAGTACTGTGTGCAGTTTTGGTCTCCTTACTTGAGAAGAGATATACTAGCACTGGAGGGGGTGCAGAGGAGATTCACTCAGTTGATTCCAGAGTTGAGAGGTTTGGATTATGAGGAGAGACTGAGTAGGCTGGGATTATACTTATTGGAATTCAGAAGAATGAGGGGAGATCTTATAGAAACATATAAGATTATGAAGGGAATAGATAAGGTGGAGGCAGGGAGGTTGTTTCCGCTAGCAGTTGAAACTCGGACTAGAGGGCATCGCCTGAAAATAAAGGGAAGCAAATGTAGGACTGAGGTCAGGAGGAAATTCTTCACCCAAAGGGTTGTGAATCTGTGGAAGTCCCTGCCCAGTGAAGCGGTTGAAGCTACCTTGCTGAATGTTTTTAAGGCAAGGCTAGATAAATTTTTGAACAGTAAAGGAATATAAGGGTTATGGTGAGAGGGCGACTAAGTGGAGCTGAGTCTCAAAGATCAGCCATGATCTTATTAAATGGCGGGGCAGGCTCGAGGGGCCAGATGGCCTACTCCTGCTCCTAGTTCTTCTGTTCTTATGTTCCTACATGTATCAGTTGCTTGTGTCTTGGCGTTAAGAGCATTATCTAAAATCCATCTCAGCATCCGTGAATTCACCGAGCGTCATCTGGCCTGCCCCCGCCCTCAAGCATCACCTGCAAAAAAGGAAAAGAGGTGGGAACATCCAGACGCATGACATCAGTTTACTGAGGGCGGGATTTTAGGATGGGCGTCTTCAAATATCCGACTGCCCTGTTGCATAGAGAGCAGCGAAGATGCTGCGACTTAGCATCTGTGTTGTGTGGGGAGCATTTGTTACAGGTAAATGAGGAGGAAATACTTTCTTATATTTCGTTACAAATTCTTATTTTAAGCTGTCACCAATGAGATATTTAGAACTTGATAACTGTTTTCCCTTTCAGACCTGATTCATGGAGATTCTGTCATTCAGTCACTCTCATTAGTAACTCGAACTGAAGGAGGGGCAGTGACTCTTAACTGTACCTTTGATACTACATTGAGCAGCTATGTATTGCTCTGGTACAGACAGCATCCAGGCACACAGCCCAGGTATATCCTAAGCAAAGATCGTCTTGAAGTTGAGGATAAAGCAGATTTTGCGAAAGATGTCTTCTCCGTAGAACTTCAGACCTCGAGGAAGTTCACTGGTTTGACTATCACCGCGCTGGAGCTGACTGACGCTGCTGTATATCACTGCACGTTCAGGCACAGTGATGAGAAACAGTCTCACTCCCGTACAAAAACTGTCTGTTTATCATAGATTGGCGTTCTGTCTGTTGAAGTTTGTGCAGATTCCCAGGTAGATGAAATGTGATGTAGCGAGACTGGTAACGAGAGGAAACCAAACTGACCTCAGATCAAACTGACATTCAACTGTTACCCGGAGCAGCTGAAAAAATAAACTGTAGAGAGGCCAATGCGCACAAAGATACAATACAGAATCAAATATGAACATTTCCTTTTAAAGTCCACGGACAAAAGTCGGCTTTTGTGTAAGTTCTAGACTATGATATCCGAGAAAGTTCTCCTTCTCTGAGATTTACACCATCACATAATGTCAATCTAGAATTTTTGAGACAGTTAGATTTCATGGTACGCTGTGCTGATATCCACACTGACTGAACGCCTCATGATTTTTCTCTCCATTTGTAAAGTAACATCTCTCCCAGCAGAGGGTGGAATTCCATCACGTAAAACTAGCTAGAGAAACAGGAGTAGTAGGAACTGCAGATGCTGGAGAATCCGAGACAACAAGGTGCAGAGCTGGATGAACACAGCAGGCCAAGCAGCATCATAGGAGCAGAAAGGTTGACGTTTCGGGCCTAGACCCATTTTCTGATGAAGGGTCTAGGCCCGAAACGTCAGCCTTTCTGCTCCTATGATGCTGCTTGGCCTGCTGTGTTCATTCAGCTCTGCACCTTGTTGTCTTAGAGAAACAGTATTATGGCATTGACACTTTTTAATTAACTTATTCTGCTATGCACTCACCTGTGCAGAAAAATATTTCTAATTACTCACAAGCAGACATCTACAAACAGACACTTGCATATACCTAGTTACAAGTTTCAGAAGGAATAAGAGTGACAGACACCAAGCGCACGCCAACAGTCATAAGAGATAGACAGAGGACAGACAGAGACACACACGCAGATGGACAAACGCTCATTCTGCCACGCAGCTATACACGCAGACAAATATATTCGTATAGTTACATGTAAACATATATGCACATTGCAATGTAAAATAATTCCTGTTGCCATTTTTGCATTATATTCATGCAATTTATAATATGGATTCATTTGGATTTGCAAATGCTTGACAATGTCTCCATTTGATTTAAATTGTGGACATGCTGATGTGAAGTGGTTGAAGAAATGGACTGATTCCTACTCCTGGAAACCAAGGTTTCTCCCAAAACATCGTTGCCTACACGACGCATAACTGGATGGCACAGGAGGAGGCACATCGTGTTTCAGTTACATGGCCAGTTCTGAACAGAGTGATTCAACTCATTGCACTGCCCTATTCTTCACACAGCTCGCCCACATGCATTTCTCTTCCTCGAACCTATGTAACACCTCTTCAAAGGAAGAGAAGTTAAGCGGTTCCAGGGTCATACAGGCACATCGTTTCATATCACAATATATTGTTGCTAAAATACTCGATTCCCATGTCAACCTCAATTCCTTTGTAACATTATGTATCTCTGGATAAAACAGAATCTGATAAAGCAGATAAACCCATAGAATCGGTTTATGAAATGCAAATTGTGATTAGCTAAGAACTTGATGATGTAACCAATAGGATCGATAAGGTTGCTACACTAGATTCGGTGCATTTGAATTTTCAGAAATCTTTCCATAATTCTCACAAGTAACCACGTCACATAATTGTCACGGATCGGAATTTAGTCGATAGACAGGAATCAGGATGCGAATAAATTATTTTGTTTTTTTTCAGTGACACACAGTGACTCACAATTCATTCAATTCTCCAACGTTCACAATGAGTCGGTGCTTCTTCCCAAGCCCTGTTGAATGGGTAGATCCTTGTCTACTTATATAAAACTTGTGTCCTCAGTCGTACCCCTTCGACAAATTCTATCAAATTCTATCGAGGGATAGAATCTAATCATCTGCCAACTGATTTGTCAGTGAGTGACGAGGAGCAGATTTTCTTATTTAACTCAGCATCTGGAATGAAGGTTTTGCCAAAGTCTTTCTCTCTTTCTCACTTTCTCATCTCGAATTGAACGAAGTTTTCAGCTTCTCCATTAATTGCCTCACTGGGAAAAGTTACATGATCCGGTGTTGTGTCACTTTAATAAATGTTGCTTTACTTTACTAAGTGCCCAGTTGGAGACGGTGTTCAATCAGCCATAGGCAAAGGCGGAAATTCTGGAGTCATTCTGAGATTGAGTCTGGAAACTCCCCATTTTACCTGTGCTGTACACCCAGATTAACAGAAAGTATGGACTAGGTTCCTGTGTTGAACAGGAATCAATATTTATGATTGATTTCAATGGAAGAAGGCGCACTTCAACTTCCATTACGAATACACACAGTAGCAAAGTGTGCATTACCTGGAGGAATAGCAGCAACTAGAACACAATCTTCCTTAGACAGTACTTCCCAAAGTGATGTCAGCCATCTGGAAGGCCATGGGCAGTAGATGCATGAGACAGCCCTGGAAGTTCCCCTCTTAGTCATTCACTATCTTGAAGTGGAAATCATTATCGCTTGGTGAAAACTGAGTAAGCCCACTGTAAAAATATTTTGATGTCCTCATAACTTAAGGACTGCAGCGTTTGAAAAGATATCTCAGTAGCATCTTTACTAGGGCACTTAGGAATGCGCAAAAATATATGATGGCATAGACAGACGCCCATATCAGATGAATTAGTGCAAACAAGAATTCCCCTTAAACTCCATACCCTAATGGGTCATTAGTCCATTCCTCACCACAAATGTGCAGATCTGCCCTCAATATTGATTCCGCTTTTCTGTATTATAAAAGAAAACAACAATTCCAAACTTTGGCCGAGCATCCTCAAGAGGTGTAGGACTGCAGAAAGTTACCTCAGCCGTGTTCACCTCGTGACATATACATACAATAGGCATCACCGGGTCGCAGAGTCACAGAATTACTATCGTACTGAAGGTGGCCACTCGACCCATCATGTCTGTACTGGTTCTATTTTCTCTTCCCGATCTCCTGAACTTACCCCCCCCCCCCACCCCCATATGACTGCATGACATTGGTATCCGAATATCTATCCAATGACCCACTCTTGTGCCTTAATTGAACCTGCCATTACCATAATTCTAAATATCGAACAATCACTACCATGTGTTTACAGGAAATTTGCATTCAGGTACATTTTTTCCCCTTCCTACTTAAATTGTCCATTTAACCTGGACCGCAGTGTCAAAAACGGAAAGCTGAGCACTGAGCGGGTCCTCAAAAGAATCGTCTACTGCCTGCCTGCTTTTCCCGGATTCCCTGACAATCATCCATTCTTCTCCCAGCCTCCGAACCTCTGACCCGTTGTGTGACAACTTTACTGTTAAGTGACAACAGCTCCAAGAAGAGGCCGATGGAGCCTTCTGAACAGGTTCCTGATATTGAATCAAAGTAGAAAGGCACTGATGGTGCCTTGACCTTGAGACAGCTCCAGTGTCGTCATTCAGACGTAGAATGTGTCTGTTCTGTTCGTGGCTCTGAAATCAGTGTGATAGAAAGACATCAACAGATGGAACAGCATAAATTGAGATTGAACCCAGGGAAAATTTCTGAAAGGATCCAGCAGATGGAGAAATATATTCTTCAGACTGAATACAGTGATAGATGACCAGAGTAAGAGTGAATATCATAAAAGTAATATTACAGACAATGATGCATATGGTTCAGATTGAGTCCAGTGATGACATTGGTGTGATTTGCGGATCTTTAATTTGAGACGGGTCAGTTTATGAGGCCACAAGGAATTTAGGGTAGGCTGGAGCCCTCTGGGTAACGTGCGTAGGCAGCTTGGGACACCCATTAACTTGGTAATTACACCACTTAAACAAAATGTGGAAGCGGGGCAAAAAGAACATCGGCTTGAGAATAATCTACTGTGATTCTGATGGGTTCCTACTATGAATGGAAACCGATGTATCCTACTACTGGGCACTCTATTTTAAGGATAATGACTGTAACCCAGTTCACGGTGTGTCAATTCATAGAGTTCCGCCCACACAATATCCCACACAAGGCACTGAGGTGGAACATCTGGAGACACGATAGCAGTTTTCTGAGGGAGGGGTCTTAGAAAGGGTGACTACACTATCTGACTGCCTGCTTCACAGAGAATAGAGACAATGCGGCTATTCATCATTTGGGCTGCTTGGCGGACACTTCTAACAGATAAATGTGGAGAAAATACACGCAACTTTTCTTTATCAAATCCCATTTGAACCTGACATCACCTGATTTTTTTGCAACTGGTATCTATTTGCCCTTTCAGACCTGAGTCATGGAGATTCTGTCACTCAGTCACTCTCCACAGCTGTTTGGACAGAAGGAGATGTCGTGACATTGGACTGTTTGTATGAAACTACATTGATTTATTATTGGTTGTTATGGTACCGACAGCAAACAAACTCACATCCCAAGTTTGCACTATTGAAATACCCTGAAGGTGCCGAGCAGAATTTGCTGAAATTCGTTTCTCTGAAGAATTCCGCACCGACAAAAAATACACCAGTTTAACTATCTCAGGACTGCAGCTGACTGACACCGCCATGTATTACTGTACTCTCAGACACACAATAGGAGAATACATTCTCAGTGCCATACAAAAACAGTAATTGGGAGCATTTGTCTTGGGTTTCTTCAGAATCGCAGGCGATACAAGCACTAACAAGTGGTATCAGGCACTCAGACAAAAATCATAATGAAACCAAATTACCCTCGAATCCGACCGCCACCTAAATGCTTGCAAGAGTAGATAAGACGATAATCTAAGTTTGAATTCCTTTGAAATAAGGGCCAACATTCCAAGGGCGTTCTCTACTACCTTATGATCTTGCATGTTAGCTTTTTGACATCAGGAGAGTAGGACCGCTAAATCCCTCCGTTTTGTTGTTTTCAGTCATCCTTACCCATATACATAATATTCAGCTGTTCTATTTCTTCTGCCGAAATGCATAACCTCGCATTTCCCCCACATTATTTACTGTCAGCTAAATGTGGTCTCCTTGTTGTACCTTTGTATAT